CCGACAGGCAAGGATACAATCAAAGTCCGGATCAGTCATGTTCGGGTCAAGGACAAGGTCAACAATGGCAGATGCCCCCCTAGGCAATGGACACGACCTCCAAGGACCAGTGCAAGTCAATCCTTTGGACGACCTCCAACTGGCCGAGGGACCCCAGTCTCATGCCATGGACCCCGGCCCTTTAAAGACATCCCAAGATGCTATAGATGTGGACAGCCTGGACATATTCAGAGGGGATGCAGAGCAGTCATGGATGGAGACTCTTTAAACTACCCCAGGCCTATGGGGAGGGGCGGACCATGGGCCTAAGAAGTGTCAGCAATCAGCAGATAACAGTCGAGATGGTAGGAGATCCAACTGAGAGCACTGTAACCATTAATGGAGTCAAGTGCAAGGCTTTACTGGATACAGGGGCAACCATCTCATCTATATCAGAGACATTCTACAGGCAGAACTTCCCTGATGTTCCTCTTGAACCCCTACAACAACTTCTACATGTAGAATGTGCCGATGGAGAACTCCTGCAATACATGGGACTAATTGTGGTGGACCTAGAAGGAACTGGAAGCGCATCTACCAACATAAACTCAATGTTACTTGTCGTTCCTGATAGTTCGTACAATAAGAGAATACCAGTTACCCTAGGCACTAACATTCTTTCTATCTACCTGAACCAATGCAAGGACCAGTATGGATCACGATTTCTGCAACATGCAGACCTGCACACACCTTGGTATCTAGCATTCCGCAGCATATTGATCAAGGAGAGAGAACTTGCAAGGAACAATTACTCTGTTGGGAAAGTTAGAAGTGCTGAACCAGGTCGCAAGATTATCCCAGCCAATAGTGAGATCCACATTGCCGGCTATGTTGATAGACCCCTACCCTATAAACTTACTCATGCTGTTGTCCAGCCTACCAGAGGATCATATATTCCTGACGACCTTGACATTGTACCCACCTTAGTATCATATGATGGAAGTGGACAGAAGATGCTTGTTGATGTACATATATCCAACCTTACCACTCGCTCTGTGTCAATTCCAAGTCGTGCCCTTCTATGTGAGCTACAAGTTGTGACGGTACAAGACACACCAAAGACCTCTTCATCACTGAACTCGCCTGAAGATACATCTGTCTTGGACCTCATGGACTTCAACGAAACAGCCGTTTCAGAGGAAGAACTTGCGCAGGGAAAACAAGTCATCAAGGATTACTTGGATGTATTTTCCTCAGGAGATACTGACTTGGGACACACAGACAGGGTCAGACATCGGATTGAACTTACAGATGACAATCCATTTAAACAGCGTTATCGAAGAATACCACCAGCTATGTACGAGGAAGTTAAAGATCATCTCAATCAACTTCTTCTCTGTGGTGTCATTAGACATTCTCATTCTCCATGGTCTTCCAATGTGGTACTGGTACGTAAGAAGTCAGGAAAACTTAGACTATGTGTGGATTTTCGCCAGCTGAACCAACGGACCATTAAGGACAGCTATGCTATCCCCAGGATTGAAGAAATGTTTGAAGCCCTGTCAGGTTCGAAGTTTTACAGTACCCTGGATATGAAAAGCGGCTACCACCAAGTAGAAATAGAGGAGAAACACAAGGAGCGAACTGCCTTTACTGTTGGACCAATGGGATTTTATGAGTACAATCGTATGCCCTTTGGATTGTGCAACAGTCCAGCGACTTACCAGCGACTCATGAACGAGTGTTTTGAAGGCCTGCATCTAAAGATATGTCTCATATACTTGGATGACATCATCATATTCTCATCAACGATTGACGAACATCTAGACCGATTGAGCCAAATACTTCAGCGAGTCAGAGAAACAGGACTGAAACTTTCACCAGAGAAATGTTCATTCTTCAAAAAGAAAATCAAATTCCTTGGCCATGTTGTCTCTGAAGAAGGAATATCAGCTGATCCTGAGAAGGTGGAGAAGGTTCTAAATTGGCCGAGACCTACCAATGGTTCAGAAGCTCGTCAATTTCTTGGATTTGCAGGATATTATCGGAAATTTGTGAAGGATTTTGCCAAGATTGCCAAGCCATTATCCTCATTGATGCCACATGGGAAATCCAAGAAATCCAAGAAATCACTTGACCAACCATGGAAATGGGAACAAGAACAAGAACAGGCGTTTGTACACCTCAAGACATTGTTGGCTTCACCACCTGTCCTTGCATACCCAGACTACAGCAAACCATTCGAGATACATACAGATGCCAGTGGACGTGGGCTTGGAGCAGTGTTGTACCAGGAACAAGATGGAGCCAAGAGGGTTATCAGCTATGCGAGCAGGGGATTAACCAAGTCGGAAAGCAACTATTCAGCTCATAGACTGGAGTTCCTCGCATTGAAGTGGGCAGTCAGTGAGAAGTTTCACGACTATCTCTTTGGAGCAAGGTTTACAGTACTGACTGATAACAACCCCCTCACCTACGTCCTCACCAGTGCCAAGTTGGATGCTACAGGCCACCGATGGCTTGCAACTCTCTCTGCTTATGATTTTGACATCCACTATAGACCTGGAATGAAGAACTTAGACGCAGATACCTTGTCAAGGCTGCCAGACCTGGAACACCGAGAAGACATCTCCATGGATTCTGTAAAGGCCATCTGTGGTGTTGTTCACGCCCAACCATTTGTGGAATCACTATGTCTCACAGCAAGTTTACTGGACGAGGACCTTCACACGACAGAACATGATCTACATGGGATGACAGACAGGGATTGGCGTATGGCACAAGCTACAGATGCGACTTTATCTTCTTGGATACAGGCAGTACGTAACAAGAAGAAGCCAAGGAGACAAGATTTTCCTCATACCCTAGCAAATACATGTTTATATCAGAGCTTCCATTCTCTTGTTCTTCAACGTGGGATATTGTATCGCCAAATCAAGGTAGATGGAGTTACCAAAGATCAACTAGTGTTACCATCTAACTTCATCAATGATGCATTACAAGGCCTCCACAATGATATTGGTCACCCTGGACGTGACAGAACCCTTTCCTTAATTCGTGACAGATTTTACTGGCCAGGCATGCAAGCAGATACTGTTGATTGGATCAAGAACTGTAACAGGTGTCTCAGGAGGAAAACGCCTACTAATGTCCGCGCACCACTTGTTTCCATCACCACATCACAACCGTTGGAGTTAGTCTGTATGGATTTTCTCACCCTAGAGACTTCAAAGGGAGGATTCCAACACGTGCTCGTGATCACCGATCATTTCACGAGATATGCTTTAGCAGTGCCAACGAAGAACACTACAGCCAGGACCACTGCAGAAGCATTCTACAAGAACTTTGTCCTTCACTATGGAATGCCCATGCGAATTCACAGTGACCAAGGAGCTAACTTCATGAGTCGAATGATGAAAGAACTCTGTAACATCCTAGGCATAGCCCAGTCAAGAACTACACCATACCATCCAATGTGTAACGGAATGACAGAGCGCTTTAACAGGACTCTACTCAACATGCTTGGTACTCTGAAGCCAAACCAGAAGCAAGACTGGAAAGGGTTTGTAGGTCCACTTGTTCATGCTTACAATGCAACCAGACACGAATCAACAGGCTATTCCCCATTCTATTTGATGTTTGGTAGAGAGGCGAGACTACCCATCGACCTTGCTTTTGGAATTGAAGTAAACAAGGACAAGCAGACTCTGACCTCCTATGTGAAAACCCTGAAGACAAGGCTGGAGCAAAGCTACAACATTGCTATATCTGCATCAAGGGAAGCCCAGAAGAGACAGAAGGCGTATGATATCAAAGCCAGAGGTGCAACAATCCAGTCTGGAGACCGTGTGCTGGTGAAGATTCTTGCTTTTGAGGGAAAACACAAGCTATCTGACAAGTGGGAAGAGGATCCGTATGTAGTTCTTTCTCAGCCTAACCTGGGCATACCAGTGTTTGTAGTGAAGAAGGAAAACGGAGAAGGAAGGACTAGGACCTTGCATCGTAACCTCCTCTTACCCATAGGATCTTTATCAGCTGAGGACGACGGAGAACCTATAAGATCAGTTTCAACTCCAGGACCGGACACCTCATTAGAACCAGAACTAGAGACAGAACCATTGGCGTCGGATCAAGATGAGTGTGGGTCCATCTCAAGCCTGCTTATTGGACTTCCAATGGAGCCTGGTGATACGACTGTCATCAGCGCAGGATCTTTGGAAGGTGACTCTATCTCACAGCCTGAGGGTGACGATCTGAGGACTGTAGAGGTAGCTAGCCATGCTTCTGGTGGTGACGACCACACGCCGCGGGAACCAGATAACCCCGGTACAATAGAAGCGGACGCTAGAGAAGAAGAAGAAGCAGCAGATGTTAGTGTCAGTGAAGAGCAGGACACAGACTCAGCCGAAGGAGTCACTGCTCCTGTGTATGACCGACCAAGGCCAAGCCCAAGGCCAAGACTAAGGCCAAGTCAAAGCCCAAGACCAAGACCAAAACCACCACCAAGGACATCACTCCGGCAGAGACGGCCACGAGGTGGCAACGCTCAGGAGACTACGTGATGAGTCAGACCATAGCAGATGATTTGGGGGACAGGGCTCGACTCATTGAACAGCTCGCATCAGCTGGTATCTTTGAGCGGATTGGTGGTGCAATGTCCCAGCTAATAGTCACATTACTCAACAACGCCAATAAATGACAGGGACGTCATTTAGATGAAGGGGGGAAGTATGTGGCAGACTCAAATATATATATATGTACATAGTTTTAATTAAAGTTTGGAAGATTATATTAAGTATTAAGGTAGATGGCATTGTTTCCATTTAATTACTTATTCTAACATCTGTAAGAATATTAGGTATGTTTTATATGGTAGAATGATGAAATCTTAGTTATGTTTTATACTTCATTTTATTCTCATGCCATAGCTCTGCATAGTAAGCCTAGTAACTCTCAGTCTAACCTCCACTAATTGTCACACTGCATGCTTACAACACTCCTTGCCCCAGCCCTCAGTCAGTTCTATTGTTTCACTGATAGGCCAAGCTGGCCATAGCTTAAACTACAATGTAAAGATTTTAAACTCACATGCTGTCCTGTACTTCGTAAGGAAGGTTACCTTTACAACCAGGGGATCTTTATAAGGATTTTAGGTAGGTTCATATTGTATAAAATGTTGTATATATATATATATGGATGGTTTCTTGTTTACTACAATAAGAAATATAATTTATTGTGTAAGTCAGACTTGGTTTACTTGAAATATAATATATCTTATAAATGTGTATAGTTGAAAATGAACTATCAGATCACTGTGTTATTGTGAGTTTATGTATTGTTTATGAACGCAATTCTAAACATATCAACTAAATATATGGCAACGTTTAGGTAATGACTAGTCAGTATGAATGCATGCCTGTATGTTTGGTATGTGTGATTGATAAGACAATATATATATATATATATAAATATTATATATGATTCCATGTTTGATTAGTGTGGCGAATGTAATTGTATCTTATTTTATATCATATCACTTGTATATATATATATTGTTCTCTTCATACATATTTATTTGTTATGCAGATCTGTGTTCATTCCGGAGAATATCCTCCTTAACAGCTTGGGTACAACCAACCTGGTATGTAACACCTAACCAGAAAAAAACCCTATATGTATACCAGAAGTGTATTTACTATTAGAATTTCCTAAAGGTACCTACAGTATGTCTGTATGATCATTGTATATTTGTATTAATATTATGTAACATTATAACTTGTGACATAGTTCAGATGTATTCAACTAGGTGTATTTAATAGGCTTAACGAGTGATTCGAGCATGTACATATTTTATGTGATTCCATTTAACATAGTTCCTTATGTTCTTTCAGGCTTTTTAACACGATCTTCCAGAATAAATGTATCGGCCTCACAACCCACAGCCGTTTGTATTCTTTTGCATGGATTCAAACAAGGCGCTGTTATAATGGTGCTGATAAACTATGTGTGCAAGTCTCTCACGGTCTGCCCTTTGGAGACACCCATTGTTCCTGCTATGGTGCTGACGAACTATGGTGCAATTCCCCCACACTCAGCACTTTGGGGACCCATAGTGTTCCTTCTATGGTGCTGACGAACCATGAAACATAATCGAGCTGAACGAGGATTCGAACGCACAATCATATGTTTCTGCCGTGTCAAAGGGACGCAACTCTGCTCAGCGAATAAAGGCGACTTGGACATCCCCATGTTAATGAGAAAGCGACGTGCGACAATACCATCAACAGTTTATATGAATACACACTCAAATAGTGTTTATACCAGGTGTTCACGAGGAAGTCCGCGAATCTTGACCAATCGGTTACACTCGTTACAAAGACAGAACAAAACGGTAATGTCAAAATGGGAAATTGCTCCGGACAACATGTGTGTCTCTGATGCGTCAAATGTCCTCCACATGTTCCCATGGCGCGGGTCCGTGACATGACATTTATCAAGATGAAGACATCTTACATTTCTAATTCCAAAAGATGCATGGAGGTTGGGAATATATGCGAATAATATAGAAGTGACGCTTAACCTTCTTTCATGTCTAGAGATACACGATCAGCGTGTAATCAAGCATACGATGTCCGGCTTAGGTACGAGCCATACCGAGTCTTCACATATAAGCTGTACTTCTGGACTATATCCCTGTGGAACTCTTACAGGAGAGTAGATAGTCATGATAGGCAATTAGGTGGTAGGACACAGCACAACGATCCCATTTGCAATCAGTGAAGACTGCTCGCGACTGTCAGCCCCCACAAGATAGACTACGATAGACATAATTAACACATCGTCTGTTATAAACCTGTGGACTACTGCTAGGTCTGCGATTCAGGACCCTGTTCACGCTGACTTACTCGCCAGGATCCTCCTGTGGCAGACTCATCACTCTCGCCTAAACAGTCTACTTTTTAGCGGCATGGGAAATGTGGGTTGCTCTTTAACTGAACGTCCAACTGTTTGATGGTTTCTGTGATCGTAAATACCATTGTAGTTGGTGATAATCAGCCCGTATCCCCTTGCTAATTGGACGAGCAAGTGTTGCTTAAGTATGGAATCGGGTTGAAAGAATCTTAACGATTAGATTGGGCTAACTCCACATCATAAGGCACCAGCAGGTGTACTCTCGGCCATCTCCAGATCTAGTTGATTGCAGCTCAGTCTTTCACAAGCTCAAATTCCGTCTTTATTGGTACACTAGAACGATATTGTTCTAAAGGATATAACAGTGAGTGAGTGAGTGAGTGAGTAAGTATGGTTTTACGCCGCTGTTAGCAATATTCCAGCAATATCATGGCGGGGAACACCAGAAATTGGCTTCACACATTGTGCCCATGTGGGGATTCGAACCCGGGTCTTCGGCGTGACCAGCGAACGCTTTAACCACCAGGCTACCCAACCTTAAAGGATATAACATGTATCTAATTCAAGGAAATATAAGGCAGTATAAACATCTCAGTTACCTACCTCAATAGTATACCCAGTTAATTCTATATTTTTCACTATACTGACGCATTCACGTGCCCTGCAAATTTAGTATATTTACATCATGAATTATTGTACAATATGTATCATTATAGCATTGATATGCCCGTTTATTTTTTTAGGATTTGTAAGCATGTTAGCAATCAAAGCTCAAATCATATCACCCTGAGACTGTCAAATACCATCCATAAACTAACGGCATTGTCGATAGCAAGGGAGATAACTACAATCAATACGACGTATTCAGAGATGGATATCTCGTTCCATCCCAAATATGCGGAAGTCATAAAATGAGGATCAAGCGTGTATTTCAGCATGATGAAGTTATCTGTAGCGACGCTTTAGCATCTTTAGCATCTCATTTCCGTCAGTTTAACATGGGTCATGTGTATTTCAAAGTCTGACATGTAAAAACGTCCTTGTATATGGAAATCTCGCACAGGCCTTCCCATTCTTATCTCACCATCGATAACAATAAATCCCCTGGCTTCCCAGACAAACTTAATTGCACCAACAGCTCCAGTCAACAACTCCCGGCATTTTTTCAGTATTTGAGAAGGGCCAATTCCTGGGGTTCTTCTATCCATACATCACAACCAAAGACCTCTTTGAACTTCGACACAGAAATAATCGCATTTTTCACTAAAGCAATGAGTGATGTGTTGAGGGCTATTTGTTGTCTGATAAAATTGCTGCTAAATCGTGGTGTTGGCAGGGATGTTGCCCATTCATTAGTTCAAACGAGGGCGTAATTGAGGGAGGCTCTACAGGAAGGACGTGTACACGGCTGTCAGAATTTACATCTGTCAACACACTCTCATAGATGGAGATTTCTTCACTTTGATTTAGAATAGAGGGTTCTTCTCTGGGCACTTTGGTCATCCGGTATTATTTAGTGCTGACCCAATATTCTCAAACAACAGTCGGGCTGGCAGCGATCCGGCATCGGTACATGGTTAGATAGAAAGTTGTACGGATTTATGGAAGAACCGTCCCAGGTTCCATTGACAGAAATGGTTCGGGGGTTTATGAGTGTGTAGCAATTCCTCATTTGCACATTGGGATACTATCGGTTACACACCAATCTATGTCAAGCCATAAACCCCGATGTAAGCCTCAGTTGAAGCCTGTTTATAGGAACACAGGCCTTTTCAAACCTTCAAAGCGGGCTATACACGTGGTCTAACCGAGTGACGCCAGTCTCCCTTGAGTGTTGAAGTAGAGGGCTAGCTACACGCTGCCGTCAACACGAGACACACACTTCATGCATGAATCTGATCATTAGTCAGGTAGCATCTGCAGTGTACACTACGAGTGCCAGAGATAGAGACAATATCGGTATGGGGACCGAGGAAGACTGACGAGGTTATTGTCTGTATGTGGACCCCCCAGGTCCCCGCTGTTATCACCGCATCAGTGACCAGCTGGTGCTGCTGATGACGGGAGTTGTACCTGACGTGAAGATGACAGGAACATCTAGCTGGCCATCTAGGCATCTCGCCCTGATAGCCACATAAAGTTATATAAAGATTGATCCCATTATTTGTCATGGAGATGAGGCTTATATCTCATGTCTCTCACTTCTTCAAAGTGTACCGTTTCTAGAGTCAATTTCGTTTCTCAGCCGGTTGCCATGGTATTAATATTTTGAAATAAAACAAGTTAATCTATGAGCAAGGAAATACTACTTTCCATGTTTTTGAAATTGACTACCTGTTTGTCTGGATACTTTCCAAACGTTCACTAATATATGCCATTAACGCCGCTGTTAAGATAGCGCAGGCAGGATACATCAACGTTAAAAAATGCATGTCGTTTTCATAATAAGATATAGCCGTTGTCAGGATCATATCGCTAGCCCTCTAAGGAGGGTTTAAAAGCAGCATTTTATAATTTCGTTTAGCAGACAAGATAGACAAAAATATCGTTCTCTGTTATTATTACATCGGTGCAGTATACTAGCCAGGAAGAAACGAGGCCGTACATCTATTGAGTTGTTGATACACCAAAAAGCCGTAAAGGCCTATGCTGAGATTTGATGGAATTATTTTCAATAAAAACCTGATCCCTCACATGAATAACGAAAATAGCTAATTGCATTGGAAGAACATTATTCAACTAAGATAACATCCATCCGATATATAACAAACATTGCTTCCACGTTCAGCGAAATCATAGTATTTGTGTAACCGAACCTGCATTTCAATATAAACAACCGTCTCTTTATCAGCTTTAGACATCTCTGTATTCATTGCAGTATGTTCAGTCTGTCGAGAGCGGTTAGACATGGTACAAATCAATCTTAAGTCTCGGGTATCCAGCAAACAATGTTTCTAATCAACATCAGTATCACGGAAATATCTCTAGTTTAGTTGGAATTGAAAGGGATTTTAAGTTCAATTCTTTTAGTAGTAGGGACACGAGCGAACAGCGCTTCAGCAGTATTTTCTAGTCGATATGATGAGTAGTAGAGATGTGAGACGACTGTTTCCGTTCGATGTCTTGATAATGGTTAACCTCTGCGTTGTTCGTTAAGATCATTGGGGCCATTTGATTATTGGAGTGTACTTGAATAAAGATGATAATGACAGATAATGACATCAAATATAATAAAAAACTGCGAGACTGTAATCCTTCACCTAAGTAGGTCTGACCGCCTCCGTGGTGTAGTGGTTAGAGCGTCCGCCCGGAGAGCGGAAGGTCGCGGGTTCGATCCCCAACTGCGTCATACCAAAAGACGTTAAAATATGGTACTTGTTGGTCCCTGCCTGGCGCTCGGCATTAATGGGTACAACAAGGACTAGTCGGCTCGGAGTCATTATAATGTGTCTGAGTGGGGTATTCATGCTTCACTACGGCATGGTATCTCAGTGGGCTAGCACTATAAAACCAGCTATAACATAGCTGCCTGTTAGGCGGTTAGGCTAGAAGTTTATAGTCACATGACTTTATCCCACCGGTTACCCATGTTTTGCTGGGTGAACAGAGGCAATTTTGAACAAATCAACACTTGCCTAATACGATGTGTCACCAGTCATGTATCTTACGACAAGCTTCGTTGTGAAGTCACTAATACTGAAGTCATTTATATTGCGCTCTCATGGAGTCAAGCTGCCATTAACTCGGTCATCCATCTAGAAGTTTATAGGACTCCAAACGTTGCTGGGTAACCTCAACTGATTTGTGACCTGAGCTCGACGGGCTCAGGGAACATAAGTCCCAGAAACTCTCAGGAGTCAAGCTGAGGGTCACATCAACCCATGCTTAACCCCTCGTGACCAGTGAACAACTTATAATGTACATAATATTCAAATACTGATGGCACTGATGCTGAGGCTAGTATAAAATTATAAGAGTGATTGACAACGGTATAAGAATTTATACCATCATAACATAATGTAG